TTAGGCATTACAAAAGACTGGACAACAATAAAATATTAACAATGATGATTGCTGGGTGGCAAGATTATCAGTGATTTGAGAGGAACAGGGCTTTCTTCATACCATTGTAAGCTTTCAAAAATTTCTATATTTACCATTGTGTTTATTATAAGAAAAATAATTTTTTTTAAAAGAAAGCTCTTAATTACAATTTCATGCAGTGTAGACACTGGGCTTCATGACCATTAATGCATTCAAGTCCAAAGGGCAAAACTTCACTTTCATTTGGGTCCTCTTGGCTTTATTTGATTAGGACCTTAAGTCCTCTTGGATGGTTAATTTTGTGTCAGCTTGGCTAGGCTATGGTTCCCAGTGGTTTGGCCAAAACACTAGTCTAGTTGCTGTTCTATAATGTAATCTAATGCAATGTAATCACCTTCCATAATATAATCAAATGTAATCAATCAATCAGTTGAAAAGGGGGTTTCTTTAGGGTGTATTCTGCCTCCAGACTGTAAATAGATATTTTGACAGAACTCTCTCTTTTCACTCTGCACTCTTTCCATCGCCTGACCTAAAATCTCGGGACACAGCCTGCAGGAGTCTCCAGCCTGCTGCCTGAACTACAGATTTTGGACTTGTCAGCCCCAGTGACTGTGTGAGCCAATCCCTTGAAGTAAATCAATCAATCTCTATCTCTTGATGAATGAGGTTAACAAGAATGACTGATAAGACAATGAAGAAGAAGGTTCCTAATGTAAATGGTTAACTGAAGCCTGGTGCCTCCCTTTTAACTAACATCTTAATTACACTTCCTGCGCTACGTTCAGCAACATAGTATTAACTTAGTTAATACTTCTTAGTGTTACTAAGTATTACTTCTTAGTACAAATCCAGCCACATAAGAAGAAACACACATGCACGTATATATTCACAGCCACATACAACCACATGTTAGTATATGCATGGAATATCCCTGGAAGAATATACAATAAGTGAGTAACAATGGTTAGGAGTGCAGAAAGGAACTGGGAGGCTAAAGGACATAGGAGCAAAGGAGACTTTCTTCTCACTGAATTGTTGTTCCCACTGAAGGTTGTACCTTGTGCATGCATTAACTATTCAAAATTTATGGCCTATAACAAAAATGGATTGCAGTTGATTTTGTGACCTGGGGGAGTAGCAAAATCTGTTTGGGGGGTGGGGGCCCCCGACTGTTCTGCTTACGGCAATACCCTGAAATTTGGGCATGAAAAGGAAGCTTGCAAAGATGTTCTAGAAAAGAGGGGAGTAATTTTTCTCTACATTATAAAGTGAGAAGAATTTTGTGTTTCTGAAGGCAGCTCTGTAGGGAGGGTGAGTGACATGGAAAGAAAAGGAAAGGGCTGGGAGAGAGAAGAGTTCAGCCACACACAAGGAGCCTGACCCTAATGAGAGCATGACCAGGGAGAAACTCTCTGTGGCAGGGAATATCCAAAAGATTTCCAGCAACAGTGGTATTCCAAACCTGCCTCCTGCTCGGTGCTATAATTACCACCTCACCACCCCTCGCTACACCTTGAACTGTCAGCAAAAATCTGTAATACCTATAGTAACCTTGTGTTGGACTTCAGAGAAATGAACAAGGGGTATCCAGAATGGGGCCAGGCAGGCTGCCAAGGGGGAAAAGAGCAGAAAATAGAGCAGAGAGATGGTTAGAGGAGGGAGCTGAGGTGAATCTGGTACATGGCAGACTGACCAGGTGACAGGCACCCTGTAATCCCATGGAAATAGTGGGGGAAGGGACCAGGGGAAATTTCTTACGGTATGTGAAATGGGGGCTCAAGACATTTCCTTTGGATGTTGTTGTTGTTAGGTGCCGTCAAGTTGGTTCCAACTCATAGCAACCCTATGTGCTACCGAACAAAACACTGCCCAGTCTTGCGCCATGTTCACCATCATTGTTATGCTCGAGCCCGCTGTTGCAGCCACTGTGTCAATCCATCTCGCTGAGGGTCTTCCTCTTTTTCACTGACCCTCTACTTTACCAAGCATGATGCCCTTCTCCAGGGACTGGTCCCTCCTGATAACATGTCCAAAGTATGTAAGACATGGTCTGGCAATCCTTGCTTCTAAGAAGTATTGTGGTTGTACTTCTTCCAAGACAGATTTGTTCATTCTTTTGGCAGTTGATGGTATATTCAATATTCTTTGCCAATACCACAATTCAAAAGTGTCAATTCTTCGAACTTCCTTATTCTTTGTCCAGCTTTCACATGCATATGAGGTGACTGAAAACACTATGGCATGGGTAAGGTGCACCTTAGTCTTCAAGGTGGCATCTTTGCTTTTTGACACTTTAAATGGTCTTTTGCAGCAGATTTGCCCAGTGCAATGCATCTTTTGATTTCTTGACTTCTGCTTCCATGGGTGTTGATTATAGATCCAAGTAAAATGAAATCCTTGACAACTTCAATCTTTTCTCTGTTTATTATGCTGTTGCTTATTGGTCCAGTTGTGAGAATTTTTGTTTTCAAACATCACCTCAACATAAAGAAAACAAAAATCTTTCCTTTGGATAGGAACAGAAATTTATGACCCCTGAAGCCTACAGGGATTGGGTCATCTGTTACATACCCATGTATTTGGGAGGTAAATTTATTATCTCCTTTTTCTTTCTCTCTTCCCATTCTCTACCCCTCCTACTTTTAAAAGAGAAATTAACTAAAAATCTAAAACATCTTTGATTTTGATCTAGTTGAAGACAAAGATAGAAGCCAGTTCCTGAAAAGCTCATATCTTCCTCAGACACCCAAGACACCAAGGTGTCTCCCCTCACCTCCAGCTAGGTAAAGGTCAAAGATGATCTAATTCCAAAAGCACCTGAGTCAAGTCAGGATTGCTTTTCTCCGTTCTGGTCTGTAACTCCCTCCATTTTAACCAAGTCCTAAATGTAAACTCTTCCTGAACCTTAGCCTTCACCCCTCCACCACTCATCCCTGCCCCAAGGCAGCTATACCCCAGTTGTAGATCACACACTGACCACCACAGAAAAGAACAGGCTCCTGACCAGATCCCATAGCTCCTCAAATTCAGCACTACAGAAACATCTCTCCTCTCAACAAAGGAAAATAAAAGCCACAACTGCTCTCCCTCTGAATCCATTTTACTAACCTTCCTCTCACTAAATGTTCCTGCATCCACAACCCATTATTTCCCACTATAAATCCTTACAGATTGAGCCCCTCAGAGCCAAGAGCCTCTTCTCTCCACCTACGCCACCACACATAAACCCCTCCCAAGGTCCAGCCCCTTCTCTGCCAAAGGAAGGCAGAGCCCTGGTGTTACAAAGACGGCTCTGTTTCCTCAAACCTGACAGCCCAGTCCCATGACCTGTGCCCACTGACACACTCCCTCCCAGGGCCCAGTCCTCCTCAAAACCACATCCTGCCTCCCAGTCATTCACAAGACAGCAGCCCCAGGCCACACTGCCCCCAGCTCCTGGAGGCCACAGTCATGTTGAGAGAGTCCTTCCAATGCCCAAACAAAGGAAACTTTTACCCGGAATCCAGGCGGAGCTGCTATTTAAGGAGCACACACGTCTCAGTGTAGGCTGTGAACTCTACTCTCTCCTCCAGTAACCAAAAAACCCAAACCAAACCTACTGACATGGAGCCAATTCCAATCCACAGTGACCCCACAGGACAGAAGAGAATTGACCTATAGGGTTTCCAAGTTGTAAATCTTTATAGAAGGAGACTGCCACATCTTTTTTCTGCAAAGCAGCTGTAGGTTCCAACCGCCAACCTTTTGGTCAGCAGCCCACAGCTCCATCCTTAATTTCTTTAGAGTCACCACTTATTGGGTGTCCTCTCATCCCTATGTATTACTTTGCCATTTTTCAGTTTCTACAACTCCCCAGATACACACAAGCCTTTTGGGAGTCAGGGAGAGAACACACACGGTCCCCACTCTCCCTCTACCACATCCCTCTCAACTCCCACTCCCTGGAGAAAACACACCTCAGCGTCGCCTTGCTCCTGAGCAAAGGGCTGAGAAGATCTGCTGGCTTAGCTTGAACTTAAATCCCCCTCACTCTTTGGTGCCGTAATGGCCTGAATCTTGTTCATTTTCCTTCAAATTCTTACTTCCCAAGTGCCCTGACTCAAGAGTTTGGGAAAGAAAAGACTCCAAAGCCTGGAAGCAGGAAAGTGCCTGAGCCCTGGAGAGGGATTCGGGCTCCTGGTCTCTCCTACCCCAACAGTTTGCTCCAATCAGCACAGCTCTCAAGGAAGGCACTGAGGGGAAAGGCCCAACTGGAACCACTGATACCTGCTTTCCCAGTAGCTCCTACTTCCGTCTCTGAAGCCCCCAAACCAGTCACAATTCATAACCCTTTAGGAAGGCATGAAATAACTGTGTTCTCCATTGGGATAATATACCAGATCACACTTACCTTTTGCCAAAATTGGAACAGTTGTAGAGAATTCCCCTCCCACCCACCCCATGCCAACAGTTTTTGAATTCCTTTGAAACACCATCTGGAAGAAATCATCATCACAAACACTTAAGGTTCCAATTCATAAAAAGGCACAGAAAGAAAACACACACACACCCTACCTGTGACTTGGCAAATGCTTTGGAAGACAGGAATATCCAAAACAAAAAGCATAGCTACACACCTCCTAAACTCTCTTGGTGGTTCTATCTCATTCTTTACCCAAGAGTATTCTGACTTGTCTGCACAGGTGTCAGTGAGAAAGGAAAAGAACAAGTGAAAATATAATGGCCCTCTCATAGGAACTCACGGGAGAGGGACAATGCTCAAATGCTCACTGCTTCTTCAGCTGCACAAAAAGGCTAGGAATAATCTGAAGCAGAGTCAAACCTTTGGGGTGCAATTCCACGTGTCTCAGAGTCCTGTACTGGATGAAAGGACACCCTATGCAGACCTGGAACATTTTACTTTTATCTGTGGGCTCTTAAGTACCCGGGGGAATGGGCCTCCCAGGCCTGGCCAGCTTCACGGGAAGGTTACATACCTCAGAAGGTTAAAGCTCAGATCGAGCCTCTTTGCGAAATGTCCACAGTCTCTGCCGAGGTGCTCTGGAATTTCTCTGCAGTCCTGGCCTATGTAGGACACCTGGAAATTAAATGGAACAGAAACAATGTGGCAAACGGAAATCACCCAGCTGCTCACAACCCTGAGTCATTGATCCGATGATTGCTTCCGCAACTTTAAATGCATACTCCTCGCGCACAAAAAGGTCACATTTGAGGCTGCTTTCCTGATCTGATCAGCTTTGGGGGCTTCAGGGACTCCACCAACAGCTCCCCTGTCCTGGTACAGCCCACATGATGGAGACTAACCCCCAGCACAATGGAAATTGGACTGAACTTGGCTGGATTCAGGTGTCCAAAAAAAAAACTCATGTCAGAGCATGTTGATATAATCGCGGCAATCAGCCTCCCACTCAGGGGCCTTTCCTCCAGCTGCCCCTCTGGCTCTCCTTCTCCCTCCCCCTCACTGTCTCCAACTCCCCCCCCCAAAAAAGCCCCCTGTTATTCACATTACCTCATAAAAGACACAACAGATGCAGTTACCAGCACTCAACCTGCAGGGTGCTGGAACAAATAGGGTTGGACAAGAAAACCTCCCCCGACCGCCAATCCCATCCTGTCACCACTGTGTATAAAATGCCCTCCACACCCCGAACAAAGCTGTTCCAGAGGCAAGAGAGCGGCGATGTGAGCCCCGAGCTTCCAAGTGTCCATTCTCCAGGGAAATTGTTGCAATCAACTGCACTCTGCTTTCCAGAGGTTTTTCCTTAGGCATTTTGTTTTTTATTATTATTATAACTATTACTCTGATTGAGTTCCTAGTGTATGCCCAAATATTAAGAGGCTGAACTGATTTGGTCCCAGAACTCTTGACTGTGAGGTCAGTGGTTTTTCTCATTATCTCCAAACAAAAGCAAACTTATTGCCATCAAGTCAATTCCAACTCATGGCAACTCCATGTGTTACAGCGTAGAACTTCTCCATAGGGTTTTCTTGGTTGTCATCTTCACAGAACCAGATTGCCCGGTCTTTCTCCCTCAGCACCACTGGGTGGGTTTGAACCACCAACCTTTAGGTTAATAGTCAAGTGCTTAACCATTTACACCAACCAGAGACCTCTCTCACTACTCCAACCATGCAGCTTTTGAAACCTGTTTTTACAGACAGCATGCTGTGGGCAGGACTGGCCACGAATTCAAAAGCTGATAAAATAAACCTATGGGTCAGAGGTGGCCAGTGGGCCACCATATATACATCCTTATGGGATGCCCCTTCCCCTTGGTAGAAATTTAGGCTTGTCACATGGCTACAGCCTTGATGCTGTCACCCTACATATCCCATTCTTCCATTCATATAGACAAGGATACCTTGAAGTGAGTCTAAGACTTTGCAGGGGGTTGTGTATTTCCTAACGGGGAACAAGAATATGGTAGCCATCTCACATCCTCAAATTAGGCTTAAGCATATAAAATTACCAATATTCAATTGTTTTACAACTATAAAAACAGCACTCATATGGTTCAACACTGCACCTTAGCATCCTCAGTCTTTCAAATCATGCCTCAACCCTCTCTTATCCAATGCAGACAAACTGCTGATAACACAATATCCTGTACTCATGCTCCTTCAGTCACTTCATTCCACGAGGCTAATTCCAATAAAATAATTTTGATTCGGGAAGATACAGGCTAAAAACCAAAGGGCTTTAAGTTCAATTTGGCGATCTCTCCCCTTTCTACATGGGACCCATCTTTCTTCATAGTTCGCTGTGTAGTAAATAAAGCTCAGCTTCCAAACCAAGACGGAAATCATATGCCAAGGACAGACCAGGGATACAAGTCCCCAGTCATTTCAGGGATTAAGCTAAGCCCCCTAATCAATCTGGCGACTTCAACTTCCCTCAAGATATCCCTTAGACATCCATCAATCAGCAGCTTCTTCTATAGTCAATTCATACTGACTCCCAGGCCCATGTGCTCACCAGAAAACCCATCCCTTTCACCCCTGCATGCACCACCATCTTGTACCTAACATCATCATTCACGGCCTCTGTGATATAACAGAGGGGCTGAGCTTTAGATGGAGAAACTGAGGTCTTTCCTCAGACTTACCAAGGACTAAATCACTGAGACCCTATTGTCAAAACAAAGAAGCTGTGACTCCGGAGGCCTGCCCAGCGTAATACAGCTTCTTAGTGATGGTGCCAGGACCAAGTCCTGTACCATGGATAAGGACTTCCAACTTGGTGGCCATGGAGTCTTTATAAATTTCCACATGGATATGGGTTTTCTTGATCAGCAGATGCCAATGGTGCATTGATCATCCTGTTCTGGCTTCAAAATGAGCCTGTCTAGCCAAAAAGGCCAATGACTACCTCATGGCACAAAGTCAAAGGCCTAAAAACAGTATCGGCGTCTGGGGAAAGAGAGGGGTATTTGCTCCCCTTTTTCTTCTGTAGGATTCCTCTTCAGAGAAAACAGTAGTGCCACAGGAAAGCTATCACCAAGAAACATCTGGATCATTCACAACACGTCTGACAAGACTTTTACCAGCTTATGTTATTACATGATCCCAGAAAAAATTAAACAAAACACAACTTGTCCCCATTCCACAGAGATGAAGACCAAGGTTCCAAAGTCTAGTATAAGAATCAATTTGACAAGCCATCTACACATGTGGACCATCCTTATGTAAACTGGAAACTTTTAGACATGAGTTAAACAGACAAGATTGAAGGGTTCAAATCAGCTGGAAAAGGCTTAAAAGCAGAAAGCAGCCACAGCCAGGAATTCCAAGAAACATCCATAACTAGAAGAGAGGCATGTTTAAGAAGTGCTTCTAAGTGGGACACATTATATCTTAGGATATCAGGAAGCTTCCTGAAGCACAGGACCACCTAATGAAAGTGGCAAGGCCAAAAAAGCCAGACCAAAAACAGATTGTTTCTTTGCCAAACAGGAGACGGGATGCAGAGATTAATAAATTTTAAATGGCATAGAAACAAGAGCATATCTAGGAACTAGAAGTCATTGCATTTACTCAATTATCTTGATTCCAACTGAATTGAGGAATCAAGTTTTGTAACTTTTAATTTTCCTACCTTATATAAATTTACTGCATCTCAACATAAAGAAAACAAACTCACAACTGGACCAATAAACAACATCATGATAAATGGAGAAAAGACTGAAGTTGTCAAGGATTTCATTTTACCTGGATCCACGATCAATGCCAATGGAAGCAGCAGTCAAAAAATCAAACAACAGACTGCACTGGGCAAATCTGCTGAAAAAGACCTCTTTCAAGTGTTAAAAAGCAAAGATGTCACTTTGAGGCCTAAGGTACACTGACTCAAGCCATATTTTCAATTGCCTCATATGCATGCGAAAGCTGGACAACGTATAAGGAAGACCAAAGAACAAGTGATGTCTTTCAATTATGGTGTCGGCGAAGAACACTGAATATACCATAGACTGCCAGAAGAATGAACAAGTCTGTCTTGGAAGAAGTACAGCCAGAGTGCTCCGTGGAAGC